TACCTATGTGCTGACATGTGTATCTCCCTACCCAGAAGGGAAGTTCCATCAAAGCAAGAACTTGTCTATTCTCCATGTTAGTACTAGAGCCTGAAATGGAAGCTGCTACACAAAAAAAGCTTTAAAAAGTCAGCTGAATAAATGGACAAATTAATGAATAATAAAGGAATATATATCATCTAGAAAAATAAACAGTATCAAACCTCCACTGAACCTTGACCTCAGACTCTAAAGCAGCTCAACTTTCCTAAGAGCAAAAATAACCCCTTTCCTTTCAGTGCAATAAACCCTGAGTGATGCCCACACTGAAATACCCCTTAACTCACTCTGTCTTCTCTTAGAATTCACCACAGTTGTACTGCCCACCACCTTTCTCTCTGGAAATGATCCAGAAATCCTTGGCTCAGAAAACCGGGACTCCAGCCTTGGAGTTGAGCCCAAGGTCTCAAACTCACAGTTGCCTCGGAGTGAAGAGGCCTTGATCCTCTGTATTTGTTCAACTGGTTACAACTCTATCCTTTGGAGGAACAAAAACAGGAAAGTAGCAGAGGCCTCCTGAGGCCTGAGACAGTTCCAGGGGTCTAGGTAAAGCCATCCTTCCCTTAAGACCCTGATGCCTGACCAGCCGAAGACTCAAGACAAGGAGGAAACTGAACTATGGGTAGTTCAGGGTCAGAGGCAGGATGTGGAAGGACGGAGAGTTTGGAAAAACATATACCCGGTCCCAGCTTTGAAATCAGACAAATGCCTAGCTTCAAATCCTGACTCCAACATGTACATTTCTGAAGGCCATGTGGATCCTATTTCAACCCTCTGAGCCTCAGTTTCTACAGCTATCAAGAGATTTCACAATGTCTTAAGAGGATTGCTGAGCATTTTGCCCCCATATGTAATATTTGGCTCATCTGCCTACCCTTTAATTCCCCAACATGAACCAATTAATTCATATGGGAAAAATAAAACCAGATATCAATCAGCTTCTGAGTTAGGAAAAAAAAAAAAAAGGATTTACCAAACTGTTTTTATGTTGAGCCATACAAAGTGACAGTTACTTAATTCTGTCATGTAAGTGGACCAAACTGATGCCTGAATTTAGTCTATACATGTATATAGCAAGCATTCAATATGTATTTTTCAATGAATGAATCAAATGTCAAGACCGGTTGTGTCCATGTCAATCCCACTAATTGAGTCTGACAGACTAAAATCTGTTTTGTCCTAACTGTGCATGATGTGAGGCACTAATCCGCCTGTGCTCTGCTAGCTAACACAGACGTGGCAAGAAATCAGATTTAAACCATTAAAAAGCCAACTACTTGACACTGGAGTTTCCTTCTTATATAGAATGCGGGGATACGAACAGCTGGGTTGTTAAATCTCCTCATTTATTTTGGAGATCATCTGTCACCTCTCCCTGTGTTTAGCCTTTCAATAACCAAAGGGACTTTGCAAAATAGAATGATTACTCAGCAACAAATAAACATTCAAAGATCATTCTTCACATGGACTGTCATAGTATTTTGCAAGGATATTTAGCAGAAGCATTCCTCTTTCAGTCTTACTTCATAAGTACTTAAGAAGGAAGAACATTGCCTAAGACCCAGGTTTAGCAAAAGAATCTGATGAAACTCGTCAGTTTTGTGCCACCCGCATAGTGTCCCTGAAGGCTCCTGGTGACTATAATTATCTAGCTTTATGCTGTCCTAGCTTAGGATTCACATGCAAAATGCAGCTGTAGTTCAAACATGTCCATCTATCAAAGCAGAAGTATCTCAGAGCAAGAAAGGACCAACTCCCATCCCATGCAGACACCTTTATCCTAACAAAATGCATGTTCTTGAGCAAACATCTAGAAAGGAAGCTAGGAGCCCAGCCATTCCCTCTGAAAAACTGTCTAAGGCTTGCTTTAAAATGTCTTTATAATGGATTGAGCGTCTATGACTGGCACACAGGTTAGCAAATACCCTTGGTTGAGCAGAGCATAGGACACCTAGCCAAGAAGCAATATGGAAATGTTGCGCTTACCAAATAGCATGATTGCAAGGAGCATGGTCTAAAGTCAGAAGGTCTAGACCCTTGTCCCAGCTGAGTCACTAATGAGCTGTTTCAGAGGCAAGTCATTTAACTTCTTTGGTTTTAGTTCCCTCACCCAGATATGGAGAATCATTAATAAAAAGCAAGTATTACCTACTTTCTGAAGTTACTGAGGGAAAACAAATGGATGTGGAAGATGTTAGAAAATACAAAGGCGCATCCAGAAGTCAGAGTACTTTTCTACTGTAAGTATACTTATATAACAATATTACTATAAATATACTTATATTTCTTTTATAAGAAA